TTAAACGCAAAAGCCAAKAATACTCAGAACAAAAAGATAACCTTATTAACTACAGAAGCCTCCGATTATTTTCTTCAGTGACTATACAGTTCAATCCATTCAAAATCTTTTCGATGGATCATTTTRCCCAGCAGATCTTGCCTTAGTGGTCCAAGACAATTAAGTTTAATTTTTACTTGATTAAAAAATCAAATCCTTGGAATTTTTTTCGATGAGTTACCAAAAAGTGTTTTTAGCATTTTGTATTGGTTATTTTTACGTGGAAACKTACCTAATAAGCATGGACTGGCAGCAATGGTATAGCCTGTCTTACCAGATCGCAAAAACGCAATTTGTAGCCAGAAAAATTGAATACAAACCTCATGCRAGAGTTTCGATATCTAGTGGTGACCAACTAATTACACTAAATATTATGATAGTCACTACCTTCGTGGAGGTTTACCAGAAGTCCCTAGTACGTGCAGAAATGCGTCAACATTTGTCTATTTTTTGACACGTAAAATCTAAACGGTTTTCATAATGTCAATCATGATTTATATCAAATCGGGGGTTATCAAAATAAATAYGTTGTGAGTTCATAATTTACGCCAGGAACAGCAAGTGTCAACGATTCTTATTTCTCCGTAAATTGATCGGTAAAAAAATTGTCTACAATGTGGCTCATTAGCTAAAATAGCGTAGGCTTAAAAAACAACAACAAAACAAAACAAAAAGCACCAAACAACTCTAAATATTGAGCAACGCAGCATAATAAGCTTTCCTCGAAAATTTGAGCTTCATCAGTTGATATATAATATTGCTCTTTCAAAAATAGCGCCGATATGTCATGGTCGCAGACCCGGGGGGGGGACTCCCTAATATCAAAGGGCGGGGGTCCTCGGCGGAGATTGTGAAAATGACCCCTAAAAGGGACCTCTATTGTGAGATGATGGGCGTGGCAGTGCTGAAATTTCAACCCTAAAAGGGACCAATCAATAACAGGTCATTTTGTTTTGGTTTACCGATTTTATTTGTGTTTTTACACAATCATCGAACACCGTCGTCTCGTGTTGATTTTATGACGATGTTGCCATTTAATGACTGCTTAGGGTCGCCGTATACCCTAAAAGGGACCACAAAACACAGTTGGTAGGAATTCTTGTCATGATCACCCTAAGCGGGACCAAAATACTGATTTCAAACCCTAAAAGGGACGCCGAGGACCCCCGCCCTTTGATATTATGGAGTCCCCCCCCGGGGTCGCCGAGTAGGAGACGAAGCACGAAAAAGAGGGTGAAAAAGCCAACTTCGTGTTCCATTCTTGGTAGGTTTTTTCGACATGAAATGACATGCTATACACCCTTCGAACCTTAACAGCAYCATGCGCGCGATTTTGTTCCCGCGGTGTTTRTGTTAATGCATGTTAGGCCCTTGAATTGCCTTGAGGCAGAAACCTATAAAGGACTTAAAAACGTGTAACGCACGTCATATCAAAGAATTGTATGTCATTCGTGCGGGATCCCTGTGCTTTTTAGTTKTAAAAGTCGAGAAAATCGCCAAAAACCAGTTCTGTYGTACTTCCAAATAAGGTAAGATTACCATATATGGCTGCTAAATGAAGGASAACTTTTCTGGGGCAATTCTTTGATATGACATTTCTTTATTACCAAGCGTCGGAATATTCAAAAAAATCGAAAACGAACGTTATGGCCATATTTGGAAGATTCGGSCGTTGGATACGAAATTTAAGGCCCATTGTGGTTGGCTATAGGGTAAATTTGATTGTTCCTAATAAGGTCAAATATGGAAATGAGATGCAAATTAGATTTGAATATTTCAACGGTTGGTACGGCGTTACACATTTCAAGTCCCTTAAAAGTTTCTGCTTGAGGTCAACAACAACAACGACAACAACTTACGATTTCCATTCTATTTTGTTCATACGCCATTTTGTTTCTCGCCATGTTTAGCTACTTAGCCACTTACCGTATTGTCCAAAGAGTTTATAGAGCTTATTAGAGCGAAAGAATTGTTTTAATTCCAAATAACTTYAAACTATGTCTTATACAGCGTAATTGTAAAATATAGTCACTTCCACAATCCTCTAGTTCCTCGCTTCCAGTAATAATATAAATCCCTGGGTCCGAAGTCCTTTCGACCTTGCTCCAGAATTTAAATCACCCGCTKAGGTAGATAGTTCACATGACATAGCATGTTGTTTTAACATGAATTTAAAGTTGTAAACATATCGTATGAATGCATTATTAATTTAGAATAATAACTAAACAGCACTTTGGTGTTAAAATGCCAACATAAAAGTGTACTGAGTTTTGCTTCGATTTTGACTTTGATATTTTATAGATTATACCTTTTGATCAGTCTGACCTTGTTTTTGATTGGTCGTTAGATGGCGTCRAATTTTCTGATTGGTTGATTAATTTACTGTCCGCCATTTTGAATTTCAAAACGAGAACAATGTTTAATAGACTTTGAGCCCAGGAGTATTATTTCTTGGTGCGAAGAACAAGCGAAAGAAGATTACACTAGGGTTCACGAAGATGTATTATATATTATAGGCTATAAGTAAAACAGGTCAAGCTAACACATGCAAAGGGACTTGCGCCACTCACTTATAGAATGGTGTCCGGTAATGCGCAATTACAAGGTTTAGCACTCAAAGATCGATTAAATGGGTCAAGACTTATGCGGTAACACAGTAGGCTATCGCTGTGAGTTGGCCTCTTGGCTGGGAAGGCAGACACATTAAGTAATAGAACTTATGTCTTTAGTTTCATTTCACGAAAAAGGCCTCATAACTAATTATTTTTTTAATTGGAATTCTACATATCAAGGACTGTATTCGCTGTCGTGTGGAATCCGTGTTTTAGAATTGGGCTTCTTTTGCCAATCTTATATCATGTAATGGAAGTTGAGATTTTTGTTAGCTCTTATGTCTGCAACATTTCGAAATTTTAAAGCGCATTAAGTATTCCAAGCCCGAAATGCATTGTTGGATTCCATTTATGTGGCATTATAAAATGATATTTTCAGACACTAAAATACTTTTCAACGAGAATTGGTATAGYCACACTGAAATTACTTAAGAGTGATGATACGACTAACAGCAATGTTTTTCAATGTTTGAGAAAACTATCTTCAGTCTAAATATGTTCTGAAATAACAAACTTTCACTGGGACAATATTTATTTTTTATATCTCTGGTGTGCTCTGTTTTCTTGCTTGGTTTAATATCAGTGAAATAACTCACCAAGCCACTAAGAYAAGCTAATATTYAATATTATAAAACTCATTAATATTCATAAGGCAAAACACAATAGAAATCATAGCCCATGAAGAGAGTTGTATATTACATACAGATTTCTTGTTCATTTGCATAAACTTTAACTCTGATTTTCTCGGTCAGATTGATTTTTTTTTCAAAAGTTTCTTTAAAACCTGAGCTAGTTTACCTCAACGTTTCATAAGCTAATAGTTAATAATAATAACCAACTTATAAGTACACATATACACACAATGACATTTTCTTTTATACCATACATAGTTTAAATAATGAAGTCATGCATGATTTAAAACTAATTTCCGACGCATATAACACAGTAAGCCAATAAAGTGAGCTAATATTTACAAGTACTGGGCTACTATATAAACATAGATTCATCTGTAATCCTCTTTTCCCTATATTATTGGTAATGCCAAAACTTCAATATCCTACCTCGTAGAAGTTTATGAGAAAGCGGAAATCTCAGTTATTATCTCATACGTTGTTTGTAGTGTTGTGTAAACTTATGAAGATACCTGCTGACTTGGTTTGTTTTTATCTGTATATACTACTCTGTTTCCGCTATGTTTGTTCTCACACCCGTTATTGTCGTTTGTATATCCTTCTTGGATCAATTTATAAAAAGGCAGTAACTAAGCTAACACTAAACCTGTCAGAAGGAGGAGCCGATGGGTTCCTGGGAAAAATATATCAGTTCTTATGTCACAGCCAGCTGTAAGTCACAACTGGCTKKCAGCGAGAAATCCAGGAAAAAAGCAACTCTCCAGTTAAGGAGCACTTTCTAAGAATTTTTGCCAAGATTTAAAAAAGATATAAGCCGTTTTTGAACATAAAAACGTTATATAAGCAATTTTTGACATTAAAAACATTCGCCAGGACTCGACAGACAAAATGTTTTAACAATGATAAACGTTGCTCTCGTTTAGAGATTCTCAACTCACCAAAAATGAATTGAAATTGCAATATAAATACAAAAGAGGTTTATCTATGTTAAGGAAATGTTTTGTCTCTAACTTTCAACTCAGACCGGATTTAGSTCTAAATATCTTTGTAGCTAAGTTTGTTTGAAAGTTTGCTCTAATTACCCATAATGCACTTTATCGAAAATGATGGAAGCTAGCGTGAAGTAGTGTGAGCTGCTTTCTATAGAAACAGTTGTGTAAAAAGATAAATTTAAYCCCGTAAAAATACGTAAGCAACTTACTTTTTACTCCGACGAAGGATTAACGTCCAAAGCGTCAGTAAGTTGTTTCACCAATTTTTTACGCTGTCGAATTTAATTATCTTTTTACACAACTGTTTATCGAAAAAATGACTGTTTAAAAAGATTTGTTTTTTTTTATGAAGGATTTCTTTATTTCAAACTTGCCAACCTTTAGTGTACTCTGGCTGCAAGATAATAACGCACTTAATATAATCGAAGCATGCAGACAGACATTTGCGCCAGAGGCGTAAAACCCTATACTTAGGTATGAGTCTAAGGTACCTATGTCTATTGATATATCCCTTTAACAGCTCATTTCTACTTTATCCTATATTCGATTAATGACTTAATATCGCGTTATTGATCTATTTAAAAAAACTGGTTCCGAAAGCCTGGGGAATATTCCCAAAATTTTGGACTCTGGTTTTTGAATGGTGATAGCCAGCTTTGATAAAAGCGTTAATATTTTGTAACGAGAAATATATTCACTTCAGCTTACAAAGCATGCAAACCTACCTATAGATTCGATGGATATGTCTTGRTGGTTGAAAAGAGTTAATTAACAAACAGTGAGAAATAATAATTTGGTGTTCAGGTCAAATAATAACCAAACGAAAGTCGTAATCTGTAATCCAGGTTCGCTGATATAACGAGAGCGGAGTGAGCCAATTTCTCGCAGACATAGCATATTTTATTTCAATTTACTCAACTTGAAGTCATTCGTCTTATCATCATCTGACCTCATTAAAGCGCGTAATCTGATTGGCTGTTTCRCTGCTGGCACTTAAGACCCGGGCACTAGAATGACGTCATGATATTTGTATAAAGATAGATKGGTAACAAAGGGGAGAAGGTTTCTCAATAAGAAGGTTATTGCTGCCATTGAAATGATGTCTTAAAAAAACAAAGAATGTAAAAGCTTTGTTATTTGTGTTACTTTTCTTTTTCCGTTATTAAAGGTTATCTGAAAGCCTAGCGCCAGGATTCTTGTCACCAGCGTGAGTACAGTTTTTAAAAGCTTTCTTTTTTTTTGTCAAAAAACAATTTAAAGCAACCTATCGGTAACAATAGAATTTTCATATTTTTGCAGTATATTGTACTTTTATTTCGACAACTTTTGTCGTTGTATTTTATCACTTAAGTTTTTCCTATAAATACACCTTTACCATAATGGCTGCAATTGTGTTTTTCCAAAATAAAATAGATATAAATATTTTGTCACTGTAACATCAAAGARCTTTCAGAAATAAACGTTTTTGGAACGTTTTAGATCTCTGGACAAAATAGGAAAATAGTTATGGTGAAATGAAAATACAAAGAAATGTATGTAATTTTCCACCAATGGCTGTCTGTCTATTTGTTTCTAAATATGAAATATGTGAAAACGTTGTCACTGTCATGTGAATGAACTACCAGAAATAAACATTTTTGGGAACTTTTGACAGCCCTGGATAAAATGCGAACAAAGTTATGGCCAAATGAAAATGCAAGAAATGTATGTAATTTTCAGCCAAGGCCTTTATAGCCTCGTTCTGGTGTTATGATATATCTTAAATCCTTATAACTTCACTAGAATTTAATATTTTCATTTCAAACTTTTATATGTTGTTATTAGCACCAGGTTCCCGTCAGCTGTTAGTTTACTT